CCTCAATGGAAATGCAGATGACACCCCTCTTTCAGGTGGATCCAATTAACCTTTTGCTGTTTATGTTTTGTTACATAGCTGCCCACTTACCCACTTATTCATCTAGACATCAACACCCTTCACTTCTTTGCCTTCCCCCCTTATCTATTCAAAGATGGACCCTCCAAAAACTTTGAACCAGAACGAACGAACTCACTGCTTTCACGTTGATCTTAACTCACAGTGACCCTATATAACAGAGTAGAACTACCCCATCAGGTTTCCCAGGCTGTCAGTCTTTATGGAAGCAGACTGTTAGTCATTCTCCAAGGAGCATTGGGTAGGTTCGAACCACTGACCTTTTGGTTACCAGCAAAGTGTTTAATCACTGTGCCACCAGGGCTCCTTTCTTGAACCAGAATGCCTCTCTCCCATTCCTTCCCTAAAGGAATGTGGAGAATTGTCCCCTCACCCAGCTGTTTGGCCGCACTGTTTGGGAACAGTGTGGAGCAGGGAGGATGTCCCAACAAATGATCTCCCAGGGCCACTGGGGTTGCAGATTTTTGCTTCGCTGGCTTGTAAGCAGCCCTGGTCAACTTCGAACTGGGTGTAATCCTGAAGTAACTAAGGTGACCAAGGAAGGATGGTGAAAACCCAGAGAAGGGACAGTGGTCACACTTTGGAACTGTTCCTCCCAGACCATTGGTTCTCCAGGCCCCCCGCAGGGGTGGAGGTGAGGGTAGGGGTCAAAAGATGGAAGAGATGCTTTCCTGGTCAGTACACCTGGCTAAGAATAGGGTCCCACCACCGCATTGTGCCCTCCATCTCTACATGCTGGCCACTGGGTCACTGATGTTCCCATGACTTTAACATGACTTGGTGCAAAATTGTAGAAATCAGATCTAAACATTGTTTTTACATTTACCCTCCCCCTACAACAATGGGACAGGTTTTCAGGACTGCACTGAAAAACAAAACCAACAGTTGCTGTTCAGTTGACCCCAGTTCATGGCACCCCTATGTGTGTCAGACTAGAACTGTGCGCCATAGGTTTTCAAGGGCTGACTTTTCAGAAGTAGATCAGCTGGTCTTTCTTCCAAGGCACTTCTGGGTAGACTCAAACTTCCAACCCTTCAGTGAGCACTCTGACCCTTTGCCCTACCCAAGGGCTCTGGGACTCCACCAAGGCCCTGAGAATCTCTACAGTGGCTCTTATGCAAAGAATCAACAAACCTAAACCTCTCATCTGTGGAGCAACTTTTGTGAAAGCCTATTTTGAGTGCTCTGGTAACCATGAATACTGCCCTGGTGTGGCGCTGTGGGATCAGCACTGGACTACTAACCACAAGGTCAATGGTTCAAACCTACCAGCCACTCCTCAGAAACCCTATAGAGGGTTACTATGAGTAGGAACTGACTCGACGGCACTTAACAACAAACACTGTGCTAGTTGCAGTTCTGGGATTTCAGTGATTAATGGGGCAGGCAAGAACCCTCCAGGAGCAGTCATAAAATAATCAGTAAAGGAGATGAAGGTGAGTTCAAACCACCAACCTTTCGTTTGGCAGCTGAGTGCTTTAGCCAATGTACCACCACAGCTCCTTTAGAGGTCTAAAGAGTCCTCTAAAGTCAGTACAGCTTTTAAAATTTATCTGTGGTACCTTTTGAGTGTTTGAAATGTTGGCATTTTTTTTCCTAGTAATTTTTAGGAATGTCATTATCCCTGTAAAAATGAGGAAAAGCGTGCACAGGCATGCTGCATCACATGACTAATGAAGTGACCGAGCCAGGCTTCAGACCTAGCAGAGTGGCTCTGGAGTATATGTGCTAAGTGATGTTTAATAGGAAATGATGGGTAGGGAGTTGGGGGTCCCTTGACCACGGTGATCAGGGAAGGGCCCATCAAGCTGAGGGCTGAGCTGAGGGAGCCAGTAGAGGGACCATCAGTAGCTGGAGGCTACCAAGCTGTATTCCTGATGGGACTGGATGGGGGCCTGACCAGATTAGTCAGAATGCCCTGGCCTTAGTGAGAGGTTTGGATTTTATTTTGAGTACAGTGGGAAGCCATAAGTGTTTTAAGATGGGAAGAGACAGAATTTATGTTTCAGTGAGTACTGCCAAAACTTGAGTTGGAGAGGAAATTGAGAAGACATTCCAGGGTATTTATTTGTCCATTTTATAATCACATGTCAAATTGAAGACTTAGCTGAGGATATCCCAGACCTCAAGCTGTACAGAAGATGAAATCATTGCCCTTTCAGTCATTGTTGTTGTTGTTTAAGCATAGTTAAGTGAGATGAATCTCGCAATGAAAGCAGCGCCATCTTGCTCTGAGAGGAACTCAGTTAAAGATGCAGTGGAAGAAGAAAGACTGCTTTCCTGAACGTGGGGACCACTGCCCAAGACTGTCTGAGATCAGACTACATCAGAACAGGAAACACGGCAAGGGTAGTGCACTGAGGATTTCTTTTGGAGACACCAGCAACATGTTTGCTGACTCAAGTACCTTGCGTTTCAAGCCAAAGTTTACCCAAGGATCCCGACAGTTGCTTACTACCACCAGTCTCATGGAGTCGACCCCAAATCAGGGCAACCCCATGCGTGTCAGAACTGCACTGCAGATGGCTGATTTTTCAGCGTTAGGGCGTTTGGGGAAATTCCAGTCTCTCTTAATCCCATTTTTCCACAAACTTTTTGAAGCTCTCCTCATAGATCGCCAGTTCTTTCTTCTAAGGCTCCTCTGGGTGAATTCAACTTTCAGTTAGCATGGACACCACCCAGGGACTCTAGATTGGTTTATGAAAATGTTTTTGTCTTGGCAACTTCATGATGGTCAGAGTTTTTAAAAACCAGGTGCCATGTATTCGACAGCATGGCTGGAAATCACATGTGAACTCGGATGAGGCACCTTTCTGATCCTCTGACCTTCAGCTGACTCCTTAGGAGTCAGGGTTGGTTCTGCTGCCGTAGACAACTGCCACAGTATCGTGCGGGGGAATTATTTGGGAGATTTGTATGTCAGGATCACCCCCTGTGTGTAGTTTTTAAATTCACAGACTTGAATTGGTAGGGCAGTTTGAAGTTTACAGAACAATGTGTGGGAAGTACTGAGTGTCCCCACATACCCCAGCTTCTCTCCCCTCCCCCTTACACACTGTTTCTCCTAGTGTCAACATCTTACATGCTGGTGATGTGCTTGCTACAGTTGACAGACTAGCATCGATGCATTGTTAACTCAGTGTTTAGACAAATGTGTGATGAAAGTGTGATGTCGTATATCAATCATAATGTCGTTGTTATGTGCTGTGGAGTCGGTTCCAACTCATAGCGACCCTGTACAGAGTTTCTGAGGCTGTAAATCTTTACGGGAGCAGAAAGCCTCATCTTTCTCCTGAGGAACAGCTGGTAGTTTTGAACTGCTGACCTTGCAGTTCACAGCCCGATTCATAATCACTATGCTACCAGATCAATCATAACAACGTCACTCAAAATAGATTCCCTGCCCTAGTAATCTACACTGAACCTGTTTATCCTTTGCCTTCTCCCCCTGGAACTCCTGGCACCCATTCATCTGTTCGCCGTCTCTCTAGCTTTGCTTTCCCAGAAGATCATATCGTTGGAAGCATATGGAATATAGCTTTTTTCAGACTGGCTTCTCCATGTCTGTTGGTATCTGGATAGCTCATTTCTTGCTCTGGCTGAATACTTTTTGTAGTATGGCTGTTCGACTGTTGCTTCATTTGCTCACCTGTTGAAGGACATCTTGGTTGCTTTCAGCTAGGGGAAATTCTGAATAAAGCTGCTCTAAACATTCATGTAAGGAGCTCTGATAGCGTAGTGGTTACGAGTCAGGCTGCTAACGTCAAGGTCAGCTAGTTCAAAACTACTAGTGGTTCCGCGGGAACGAAATGAGGCTTTCTGCTCCCGTAAAGATTTACAGCCTTGGAAACCCTATACAGGGTCATTATGAGTTGGAACTGACTCCACGGCACACCACCACCACCAAACATTTGTGTGCAGGATTTCTGTGGATGTAAATTTTCAACTCAATAGAGTACATGCATTTCAGTGAGATAGCACTAGGTTTAGCATTGTGAGAAATTGTCACTTCTACGGTGTCATTATCTCATTTTTATTAATGCATTTACAGTGAGGGAAATGGGACACAGGCAGGTTAGGTAAGTTGCCCATAGTCACACAGCCAATAAGTGACAGATTTAAGATTTGAGCCCAAGTAGTCTGGTTGTAGGACTTAGGCTCTGAACCGTGCCACACAATCTCTGCTTAATATATGACAGACGTGATTTGAGTTAATGACGGCATTTTAACATTAGTTCTTACATTTTAATGTTCAACAGGATCATTTAGGAAGCTTGTTAAAATGCAGATTCAAGGCCTCATACCCAGAGGTTCCAATTTGGTAGGCATGGGGTACCATCGAGTCAGTTCTGACTCACAGCTACCCTTTAGGACAGAGTGGAACTGCTCCATCCAGTTTCCTAGGCTGTGCATCTTTACAGTGACAGACGGTCACATGGTTCTCCTGCAGAGTGGCCAGTGGGTTCTAACCCTCGGCCTTTTGGTTGGAATCCTAACACTTAACCCACTGTGTCACCAGTACTCCTTAGGCCTGGGGTGGTTGTATTGTTAGGTGCTGGGGAGTCGGTCTGGATTCATAGCTGCCCTGTAGAGAGTTTCTGAGACTGTGAATCTTCACAGAAGCAGAAAGCCTCATCTTTCTCCCACAGAGCGGCTGGTGGGTTTGAACTGCTGGCCCTGAGGTTAGTAGTCCAGTGCTTATCCTAAGCACCTACAGTGCTCTGGGCCTGGGGTGGTGGTGGTGGTGGTGGTGGTGAAGTGCCATAGAATAGAGCTTCAGACCAGTACTTCCAAGTGATTCTGATGATGGTGGAAACTGAGCTCGACTCCACGATTGAAATAGAATACTTCATGGTGAGGATGCCAGAGAGCTGGCAAGCAGTCCTGGGCTTTTCAGTTTCATTTTGCAGGATAGGACTGGGGAAGAAGTTGTTCTTGACCACTGTGCTCAGTAAGGTTCACTACGGAAGTCCTGTGGTTTGTGTATGGTTGTCTGCATCACCGCCACCGCAGGAAGAGCATCAGTGGTGGCTTGGCAGGTGGTTGTCAGAGGGACTTCTAGAAACTTGAATCTAAAGGCTGTGAGTGCAAAGACAAAGTTGTTAAGTGCTGTCAAGTCGATTCCGACTCATAGCGACCCGGTTTTGGGTTCCTTAAGCTTTAAATCTTTGCAGGAGCTGCTCTTTAAAAATGTGGTAAGACTGTTTTATTAGCTGATTGCTGATTTTATCCCTAATCTTTGTACTCGCCTCCTGGCAGGAAGACCATCACTCTGATTTCATCATGTTGATATTGTTCAGTATCCTCTAGTGGGTTCCACCTCATAGTGACCCTGTATAGAGTTTCCAAGGAGTGACTGGTGGGTTTGAACCACTGACCTTGGGTAATAGTAGTATAGTGCATATCCTACAGTACCTAATTTCATCATAGTCCCTTAATTCTCATTGGTAGCATTCCTCTGATCTGGCTCTCAGTGTTGTTGATAATACATGACTGAGGATTGGCAGGTCTAACCTACCAGCAGCGCTGTGTGAGAACCAGGAAGCAGTCCGCTTCTGTAAAGCTGTTGGCCTTGGAACCCTATGGGGCAGTTCTCCTCTGTCCTACATGCTCCCGAATCAGCTCTATGGCAGTACAGTTTTTTGGGTTTGTATGATCATATTAGTTCATTAGTTCTTAGGAACTCATCTTAATTTAACAGTTTAGATCACCAGGTTTTACAGTGTTAAAAAAATCTATACCTGTGTACAGATTTACCACTTAGTGATTTCCCCAGGACCACTGATCAAGCCGTGTCTTAACCACTGTATCAATGCCCGTCACCTGGCCAAAAGAACAAGAAAAGAAAGTTAGTACCCTACTCACTGCCACTGAGATGATTCCGACTCATAGCAACCCTGGGCAGGGCTTCTGAGGCTGTACATCTTTATGGGAACAGAAAGACTCAGTTTTCTCCCACAGAGCAGCTGATGAGTTTGAACTGCTGACCTTGTGATTAGCATTCCAGCATCTATCCTACAGTACCATCAGTACTTCCTAAGGTAAACTTTATGAATATAAGAAACCAATTTATATTAGGATTTGGTAGCCAAAAGTAAGTAGTTTTGAGTTAAAACATCAAATTTTTCTGCAACAGATAATTTGTTAGTGACAGAAACATGGTGAGGTTTTCTAGACACAATTCATAAGCTTCCATAGGAGGAGTTGTGGTAATGTCATGGACAGTCTTGCTTAAAGAAAAATGCAGAATAGATATTTATAGCAATAAATCAGGAAATTAGAAAAAAAAATTTGGTAGATTGGAGTCTGCTACATAATTAGATTAAATATTTTCTAATCTTCAAGTTATAGTAAATAGCTTTGAGATAACACCTGTTTTCATCTTAATGTCAGTATGTATAGTAATCATCCATTTGTCATTGATTCTAAGATGCAATTAGTCCTTATTTTAACATTTTTGAAATCAAAATGCATTTTACAATTGATATCTTAGATTTTACTAAGTATGAATTTCTTAAGCATACAATATTATAATTACAGTTTTTTGTTTTAGTGGTTATATTAGGGTTTATAATGTTTGTTGTTGTTGTTAAGTGCCATCAAATCAGTTCCAAATCATAGTGACCCTGTACAGTGTTTCCAAGGAGCGGCTGGTGGGTTTGAACTGCTGACCTTGCGATTCAAACTGACCGTGTAATTAAGTGCGTGTTCTAAAATGCCACACCTTTAATTCATCACATTCTATCTTCAAATATCTCTGCCACTTCACATATAGGAAAAGAGCTTTATAAACCATATACTTTGAATTTTTCTTCCCAGCTATGTTTGACTTTTGCATATGTTTTTAACCCAACACACATTTATTGTTTTTGTCTTAAATAATAACATAAATCTTTTAAAGAGAAATTGACTCACAGTGGTGGTAAGTGCTGTCAGGCTGGCTCTAGGAACTGTGGGGTTGGTGCAACAGAACCTTCTTTTCCCCAGTCCTGTGCAAGCTGAGTATTATCCCCCTAATCCTTTTTCTGTGGTTCTTTCCTTGGCTGAGTAGTTTCCCACCACACTTAGACTGATCAGAATTCTATTGGAAATTTGATGGGGATCCCCACAGGTTTGTAGAACTCTTCCCTCTGTACTCTGTCTTACAAACTTTAGCTGCCTTGTCCTCTCCTAACTCCCAGCTCTGTGTCTTCAAGGGTTCAGGGAGATACAGGTTCTACCTTGACACCCCCTCCCTGATCTGCAGCCTAGAAACTCTCCCATGGCAGAAAGTGGGAGCAATAGTAGGACTCAGCTAGTTTGTTTTCTTTCTCTGAGGATCACAGTTCTTTGTTATTTCAGTGTTCAAAATAAACTATTCCCCCTTCCTAGAATAAGACTTAAGGGGAATACACAAGCAGACATGTGGTCTGACTGGTGACCACGTTGGTTACTGATAAGGGGAAATGAGGGAAAAACAGCAATGAAGCTGTGAGCTCAGTCCTACGACGTTTAATAGGTTCCTGTGAACCTGGGTGGAGACCTGGTTGGCTAGCAGTGTGGCAAGACCTGGGGACTCCTGGGCCCAGAGTCAGTGACATAGCCACAGAAGACTAGAGTGGAGAGTGAAGTGTCCAGCTGATAAGAAGTGAGGGGAAAAAAAAAGAAGTGAGGGGATATGCACAAAAACACCTACACCTGGCTTCAATGACTGGATGATCAGAACTCAACTAGAAGAAGAAAGAAGAGGAAGAAAAGACTAATCTGATACAATTAGATGAACTTGACCTACACCTATGGATGCAGTAGCTCAAAAGAGGGAACAAACATTTGCAACGAGGATCATTCCCACCCCCTTGGTACACAAGGTAGACAGGGATGGGCAACTTGGATGTTGGCTACCCAAAATGGGGGGGGCTACAAAGGCAAGAAGTGACTGGCTTACAAGCTTTCAAGAGGGAGCCTAGATCCAGAGGGTGCAGAGGAAGGTAGAATCTCCACTGAGTAGTATCCAATCTGTCTGGGTGGGGCTGATGAAAGGAGATGGGGATAGGACTCTTACAGTACAATAGCGAATAATTGTTATCATGTCTGACTGTGAGGGTTGGAAATGTAAAGGTAGACATTTTGTAGCAAAAGGAGGGGAGTGGTTGACTTTGCAGTCTAGGAGCGGAGGTCCCTGGGACCATCAAGGGAGAAGAGTGGAGTGCGGGACCCTACCCAGAGAAACAGTGACTCCAGAGATGGAGGCAGAGACGATGACTTGGAGAGATGGAGTGGCTGGGGACTCTAGATCCAGAGAGGGAGAGGGTCTGTGTGCTGACAACCGTGGGGCAGGCTTTCAGGGTGTACCCTTTGGTTGTTAGATGATGCATGGAGGGGATTGTAACCATGACAATGAAATGATATATGATAGGATGAATGTAAAGCTAATGTTCTCCCATGTAAACTATCACATAATTTACAATAAAACATTTAACAACAACAAAGTGGTGTCAGAGAAAGCCAACTGAAAAAAAATAAACTATTAGACTCCGTGGGAGAAAAAGTCAATCATGTGTTGTATCATCTTAGAAACAAAAGGTGGTTGTTGTTAAGTGCCATTGAATCGTGACCCCATATAAGATTTCCAAGGAGCAGCTAGTGAATTTGAACCATCGACCTGTGGTTCAAAGCAAGCTTGCAGTCCAGCGCATTTTTCCATAGCACCACAAAAGTAGATAATGTTGCTAAGGGAATCCAAGCCTTGTTTTGCCTTCACTGGGTGGAGCAAGTCATGTTAATCAAGGACACCTCTGTTGAGTGCTCCTTCCCATCCTATTTACAGCGTGGCTCCTGTGTGGTTGAACTGGGCTGTGTCATGTTATTTCAAATGCGGAGAGATACTGATAGGACTTCACTAATGGCTGGTGTAACAACTAAAAATGTTGGTGTTCACTGTAAATTCTGGGTGTCAAAAGAAAATATAGGACAGTAAGACATGTAAATGACAAGTTGTTCAACTACTGATCCAGAAATACCATATATTTCTTCTCCTTTTTATTTATTTATTTTTTTATGAGCATTCCATGATTTCCAGAATGTGCCAAATACCTTAAAATACATTTCTGCAAGAGATGTCACCAGCTACTTAATACCAGAGACTGTTTTCTTATTTCTTTGTTTTACTTTTATTATGAAAACTTGCAAATGCTCAATAAGTGATTTTTAATACCTATGTATTAAATGTTCAATAAGTGATTTTTAATACCAGATGGAACACATAGAAATCAGCTGGGCCAGTTAAACTCAGGCAAAGAGGTCAGCTCAGAAAGTTATGATGATTTTTTGGGGTCCCAAAGGGGTCATCTTGATAGATTTTTTTAAAGGATGCAAGATGATCCAGGAGGCTTATTAGGAAGAAACTTTAAGAAAATGGAAAACTGCATTGGTGAGAAAAATGCCAGGAGAGTTGTGCTGAGGAATTTTTCCCAGTGTGATAATGTCTACTCATTTGTCCAGAGTATGAGAATCTCATTGGGAAACCTTATCCCATTTGCCCTACAGCCGTGATTTTACCCCCTCAGACTGCCTTTTGTCCCCATATGCAAAGGACAGTGAGGATGCCAAAACTGTGGTTTTGACATGGTTTACGTCAAAGAGTACAAGATTCTCCGTTAGATGGAAACACACTGCCCTCAGACATGTATAAACCTGGATGGAGGCTGTGTCAAGAAGCAGCAGCTTCATATTTCGGTGTTTTTGTTTAATAACAGTTTCTATGATTTTGTAGCAATATTTTTTTACTTACTTCATTATGTACTAGGTAGTATCAAAAAATTCATGGAAAAATTCTACTGTCTTCTAATTAATTTTTTCATGAACTTTTTGAAGCTCCCTTGTATGTTCTCAAGCATATATTGATAGGGTTGACTGTAAGCACTGTAAAAGATAGGTGGTGCTTGCTATGAGTCAGAACCAACTCAACAGCCCTTAACAACAACAACAGCAACATAAAACTTGCCACATAAGAGTAGAAGTTCTTCTGCCTTTTTTTTTTTTTGCTGTACTTACAATCCTTGCTGGCACTATGTGTTAGACGTTAGACTCAAACCTACCAGTTGCTCAGTGGGAGAAAGATGAGACTGTCTACTCCCATAAAGATTTTTTTTTCTTTCCCATAAAGACTTAAAGCCTTGGAAACCCTATATAGGGTCAGTACGAGTCAGAATCAACTCACTGGCAGTTGTTGATATTGTTAGTGCCATCAAGTTGGTTCCCACTCACAGCGACCCTGTGTAGGACTACCAGGTCTGTAAAGCCGGAAATCATCAGACAATATTATTAATATCACATACAAGTCAAATTTTGTTCAAGATAATTAAAAAACAACTTCAACAGGGAACTGCTGGCAGTTCAAGATGGATTTAGAAAAGGTCATGAAACGAGGCATCATTGTTGATGTCAGATAGATCTTGGCTCCTCCGAAGCAACAGGAGGTCCAGGTTGAGGGGGCTGTGGTTCCAGGTTGGGGGTTGAGGCTGTAAATCTTTGCAGGAGCAGAAAGCCTCATCTTTCTTCCACAGAGTGGCTGGTGGGCTTGAACTACTGGCCTTGTGATTTGCAGTCCAGTATTTATCATACAGAACTTCCAGGCTCAATGGCAGTAGGTGTGGTTTATACTTAGTTACAATTTCATGATTCAAATGAAGACATACATAGGGTGAGGTCTGGGATGGTCCCCAGTGGGAAGCTTCCATGTCCCCAACACAGACGTGCTGCCCTCCCGTATTTATCTGCATCTTTGCTCCTGTCAGCTTTTATCACCGCTGTTTATGAGGCGCCTGTGTTGATTGGTCAATATACTCGTTCAGTCATTTTTTGATTGTTGTGTAGCTAGTTTTCTTTTTGGTAGACAGTTGGGTTATTTTCTATAAACAGTGCTGTTGTGAATGTCTTATTATACTTTGGTCTCTTCTGGCTTCTTTTCTTGGGGTAAGGAATCACTAAATTGTTTTTCAGAGCTCATCTCCAGCTCTATGGGCTATTCCCAAATTGTTCTCAAAAGTAGTTGCCGCTGTTTAATTTAATTTAATTTTTTTTCCTTTCAGTGCCTGAAGACCTGTCATTAGAAGAGAGAGAAGAACTTCTAGACATTCGTCGAAGGAAGAAGGAACTTATCGATGACATTGAGGTAAAAACATCTCTCTTAGCTCTGGCTTTGGGGTAAAAGAATAGATCGAGTCACTTCATGAAAATGGAAAAGAGCTGTCCAGGGTGTGCACACAGACCACACGGAGAGAGAAGATGAGAGACGTACGCATGGTGGTAACGCTTCTGTGGTTCCTCCTGGCCAACTCGAGGGTAGATAACAACACATGAAGGAGTCAGAGATGATGGTTATTGACTCGGGACTCCAGGGTCAACAAGACAGCCGCAACCTACAAACGTGTTGCTCTCCACACATGGGTCTAGGGCTCTGCTTTGTCTCCAGTGCTTCTAGCACCGGTAAGAATATCTGTGATGGTTTTGGCACTCCAGTACTTTTGTAAATGAATGAAGAAACATGTATGGAGCACCAGTGATACACCAACAACGTGCCTGCTAGATGGTAGGAGAACAAGGACAAATACAACAGAGATGACTGAGACACAGCCAAGCACGGTACTTTCCACGTCTATGCACACCACTGCAGAGGACGGGGCACAGGAGGCACGCGGCTGACATCAAGGAAGAGAGCCCACCGCCTCTGTGTTGGCACATCGGTGGAGGCTGCAGAAATGATTCAGAGGAGATGAGCTGTCTGCGCTGCTTCCGGCTGGGGTGGCGCTGGCCCGTGCTTTCCCCAGCAGCTCGTTGAATGAGAACGAGGAGTCACTTAGCCACGGGCTTTCCTTTGAGAAGCTCTCAGTCCTTGTCTGGCCAAAGTAAACGTGGCCTCCCAGGCCACCCACTGGAAGACTGAGCCTGTCTCAGACAATCATTCCATTCTAGGAGCTCCCGCATTAAGCCTGAGGTTTCTTGGCTCACAAAATAATAAGGTTCCGAATAAATAGTTCTTTGTGTGCTCAAAAGGTAATTTGTAGAACTTTTTCTTCTAGGGTTACCCTTAATTCTTAGAAAAATCAGATAACCCCGAATGGCTGCTTTGCTTCAACACCAGAAATAGCTTCTAAGACTCCTACTCCTGTATGGAGACCAGTAATAATGGGGCCCATGGACTCTGGTTTCACTGGAATCCCAGTCAAGCCCTGAGTAACCTACTTCATTTTGTAGCTGAGAATGTCAAGGCCCACAGAAGTTAGGAGACTTGTCAGAGTCCCTCAGCCTGAAAGTGGTGGAGCAACACTGAGGGGAAGGGGAATCTGTCCCCTCTGGAATTTCTGGCTCATCTGAGTGCCGTCCATCAGTTGTCATGAGTCATACTGACCCTGTCCATGATGCTTCATCTCAAATACAGTGATGGAAATCATCCCAAGACTGGGGATGAAATAGGTTGAGATCCCTTTAATTGTGTTTCAACTTCTCCCTGCCTTGCAATGCTGGGGAAAGCCAAGACCACATGTGGGGTGATGGTTAACAGCTGGAGTAAGACACAAAGGGCTCATTGCTCCCCTTGGGCTACTTTCGTCTTTTTACAGCTGTGATAGTCTCCCAGTGGCCAGTCTTGATTTTATACACAAATGCTCCGCTCTGCCCTCTCACTGTGAAACTCATGATGAAAGTATGAGTGGACCTCATTGTATCATGCTTTGCAGGAGCCGCCTTTTCACAAAGTGAAGGTTTGTGGCAGCCCTAGATCAAGTCCATCAGCACCATTTTCCCAGTGGCATGTGCTCACTTCATGTCTCTGGCCCGTGTTGATCAGTCTCAGATCGTTTCTGACTTTTTCATCATAGTACGTGTCATAGAAGATAGCAGAGTGTAAACCATCACCTGCACATCTGCCCTGGGAAACCAGAGCCCCTGTGAGACAGGCTTGGTTGCGGTGGTCTGGAGCCAACCCACTGTATCTGTGTGTGTGTCCAAACCGCTGGTGCCCTGATGAAACCTCAGGGAGCTGAGAGAGGGGCTTGCTCCTGGAGGGCTAGGATTCCTCCAGCTTCAGGAGGAAGGAGGCTAATACATACATTGTACTCCACCCTTCTGTTTTCTCTCTTGACAGCGGCTAAAATACGAAATTGCGGAGGTGATGACAGAGATCGACAATCTGACGTCTGTAGAGGAGAGGTAGGCACCTATATGTACACCCTGGAGTTCTTCCCTCTCTTCTCCCCAGCCCACCCTCCAGCTGCTTCCCAGACTGTGGGGCCTGTAGCCAGGGCTATAGAGGGGTGGTGGCACTGGGCCCCTGCGAGCCCTCTGATCCTCTCCTTTCCTCTCTGCTCACAGGCTTTCCTGCTCTTTCTCACCCTCTGCCTGTTCTTCACCAGCTCCCTTCGTAGGTTCTAGAATAAGCACTAGTACATCAGCATTCACTGTGGGTTGGAGGCACTTCTGTATAATAAGGAACTGACCTGTTTTTCATCTTTAGCTTTGTCGGAAAGAGTGATTTCAATTTATCAAATGTCTGCACCAGGGGGTGTGGGGCGGCCTCCTCAAGGAGGGCTGGGCTTGTCTTCCGCTGGACAGTGATGAGGGGAAACCCGCTGAGGGAGTGAGACCAGCTTTGAGGAAACATCCACAAGTGATTTTCTCTTGTCTTTCAAATGAATAGCAAAACTACGCAGAGGAACAAGCAGATCGCCATGGGGAGGAAGAAATTCAACATGGACCCCAAGAAGGTGAGTGCACTTTCTGAGTGCTCTGCCATGGGTGGATGGAGGAGTGCTTCTAATAACCATCAAGAGGTGCTGTTGCCTCATCAAAAAACAGAAAAGTGATGTATAACTTCTGTCATGATGAGTGTGTAGGGACCCTGGTGGCGCAGTGGTTAAGAGCTTGATGATTCACCTTAAGATTGGTGGTTTGAACCCCCCAGTGGCTCTGTGGGAAGAAGACCTGACTGTGTGTTTCCATAAAGATGACAGCCTAGGAAGCCCGATACAGCAGTGCTGCTGTGTCATCTGGGGTCACCGTGAGGCAGAGTCAACTCTGCGTCAGTGGTAACTGCTGAAGGAGCTGGCCACACCGTGCGTGGTGTGGTGCTCTCGGGTCTGTCTGCCTGTGTGTCCATCTCCTGGGCTCAGGCCTTCTCCCAGTCGTACAGCTCTCATCACTTTGGGCTTGTTAATTTTTTTTAAAAAGAAGGCTTACAGTGATGTCCCCCTGGCCATTCTTTATTTTTTACTGTGTTTTAGGTAACTGTTTGCACAGCACATTCAATTCCCATTGAACAATCTCTGTGCTTATCTGTGTGTTGACACTGACGTTCACGTTGTGCTCTGATGGTTTTGCTTCCATTCATCTATCTTCCTTGTCCCTCCTTACCTTTCCAGCTTCGCTTCAGGGTCCATGCGAGCATTGAAAGGCACAAGATGATGCGGCTTAGTTTCTGAACCAGTCTGTTGTTTGGCCCCTGGCTTTGCCTCTGTTTTCTTAAGGCCTCTGACTCCACATTCTCCCCACCTTCACTTGGGGTGTGACTCTGTCTCTGCCTTGTGGCTTCTGTGCACAGAAGAGATAACACTGTTCTGACTCCAGCTGGCTCGTTTTGGGGGAGAGTTGGCTGCTTGGGCAGGTCATATGCATGCAGAACTCACAGGAGCCTCACTGGGGGCTCCCACAGCTCCGCTAACTCTGTGAGCCTCAGACAAGCCAGACCTTGAGCTGGCAGGATAGTCCAGGCCTGAGTTCTACAGGTCCCAGCACTTAGCTTTTAACAGCAGAGAGGGTGGGCTAATGAGTCCCCCAGACCACCAGGACCCCCAGGTGAGGGGGAAGGAGAGCAGGGTTAGAGACTGCAAGAATCTCTGAGAGTGCCGGTCCCTGTGAGGATACTAGGAAAGTTGTGTGTGCAGATGGGAGGCTGTGCTGTTAGGGAAGACCAGCTGCTCCATCTTCATCAAAAGGGAGAAAGGCTGTCAGGTGCCTCCAAAACCGCTGGGGCAGCAGAAGGCTTAACCAGGCCAGTTATCACCCCAGTCATGAGCCAGGCTGCCCTCCCAAGGTGCCTATGTGTGCTGATCCCTTTGTCCTTCCAACCCTTTCTCCATGGCCTCTTAAAATTTCTGGAGCAGCCAATGCACCGTTTCCACCCACCACCAGTCTTGTGGGCCCTCACACCAAGAGCTCTGCAAGGGTCTGGCCTCTAACCTCTGACCTCTGACCTCTCACCTCTGCCAAGGATTTTAGATCACATTAAACTTCGTCTGAGTTCCCCTCCCTCACAGACCTCTGAGGGTCTGAGGGGATCCCTCCCCCTGTCACCTGTTAGACAGCTTGAAGAACATTCACAAAAGAATATACTCAAAGCCACAACTCAGAACAAGATACAATTAGAGAATTGTTCAGGGCACTTAGCCCTGACCCTCACTATTCGAGCACTAAAATTAGCCTGTACAACAACATGCTTTATAAATGGAATTGAAATATACTCTTACATATATTTTTTTAATTCGATATCATGAGATTTTTCTGTGTTCCTGAGTAGGGCAGCTGTTCATTGTGTTTTGCTACTGTATAATGTTCATCATATAAAAATACCAGGATGCATGTATGGACAGCTGGGTTGTTCCCAGTTTGGGGGAATTGTACATACAGCTGTTATGCACATTCGTAGATTTAAAAAAGACTCTGCAGATGAAACATTGAATGTGAGGAAGCCCTGGTCTTGGGCCCTGAGGGTGGTAAAAAGAAGAGCATCTCTGGATTTCTAGAAACATCCTCCTGACAAATAGATGACAGAAGTTTGTATTTCTCTCTGTTCATTTGAAGCAAAGGAAAGAGAGTCAGGAAATTATTGAGCAATTTCTGGTAAGCTGGGTATTTTTGTTTGTGTGTTTGTTTTTTGCTCAAGAGTACCATAGATGCTGTGGGAGGAAATGGAGTCTGTGGCTAACTTTCCCTTCGTCAACACCCATCTCCTTGTCCATGAGACCAGAAGAACTGGATTGTGCTCCATTACCATGACTGAACATTTTGTTCAAATATTCCATAGAAGAATCCTGATCAAAAAGAGGGGAAATAGGAAACAAAATTTCAAATTTTCGTCGACTCCAGACTTTCTGGAGCCATAGAAGTTGGCTGAACCCCTGAAACTATTGCCCCAAGATCATTTTTAAAGCTTAAACCAAAACTGGCCCTTGAAGTCATCTTAAAACTGAGCAGGAGTTTAGCATAGCTAGTTTAAAAGAAAAGGTGTACTTTGAGCATTCAGCTCTGTTAGGAACTATGTGAGGTGAAAGTGACAACAGCCACTCAGGAGATTTCACTGGGACCTTAGGGGCAGTGAGTTTGTAAGTGAGGGAGGAGCAACAACTCAGAATAAAGGAGGTTGAGGATGGTTGCACAACCCAAAGACTAAGATCCATGTCACTGAATTTTCCATGTAGAAATTATTGAATTGGTATATATTTTGCTGTGTATATTCTCAACAACAAAGTAAGTTTCTTCTACTCTCTTTCTAGCCTTGCCAACATGATTTTGAAACTAGCTTTTGTTGTTGTTAGGTGCCATCAAGTCGGCACCAACTCATAGCGACCCCATGCACAGCAGACCCAAACACTGCCCGATCCTGGGCCAGCCTCACTACTGTTGACACGCTTGAGTCCATCGATGCCGCCACCTGGCCAATCCATCTCGTTGGGGTCTTCCTCTTTTTCTCTGACCCTCCACCTTACCAAATATAATATCCTTCTCCAGTGACTGGTCCCTCCTGACAATATGTCTGAAGTATGAGAGACAAAGTTTGGCCATATTGGCCTCCAAGGAACACTCTGGCTGCACTTCATCCAACACAGATCTGTTGGTTCTTTTGGCAGCCCATGGCACTTTCAATATTCTCCAATACCATAACTCAAAAGCATCAATTCTTCTACGGTCTTCCTTATTCACTGTTCAGCTTTCACATGCATATGAAGTTATTGAAAACACCATGGCTTGAGTCAGGCACACTTTAGTCCTCAAGCTGACATCTTTGCTCTTCAACACTTTCAAAAGGTCTTGTGCAGCAGATTTACCTAATGCAATACGTCGTTTGATTTCTTGACTGCTGCTTCCGTGAGTGTTGATAGTTGATCCAAGAAGAATGAAGTCCTTGACAACTTCAGTCTTTTCTCCGTTGATAAGAATGTTGTTTATTGGTCCAGTGGTGAGGATTTTTGTTTTCTTTACCTTGAGATGTAATCCATACTGAAGACTGTGCTCTTTGATCTTCATCAGTAAATGTTTTAAGTCCTCTTCACTTGAAACCAGCTTAGAGGTTGCTAAGTAACTGTACTGTTTTTTTCTATCTCCAGGACTTCTCATGAAGTCCCCAGAGCACCTTTCGTCCAGAGATTCCAACTGTGCTCTGTAGGTCCTTAAAGTGGGCCTGCATTCTGATCAGTGGTCAGTGTATCAGATAACTGTGCTCGGCCACAGCTAACAGAAAATCCAGCTAAAGATCACTTAGGAGGGTTCTTTGCTTTGCTCTCACAAATGGTAGAGCGGTAGGTGGCTGCCAGTGCTGTTGAGTGACTCCCAGGTGGTAGGACCCTGGCCTCTGTGTTTATCTTAGCCTTCCCCTCGTGAGCTCTCTGTGGCACTTTCTGTTGTACCTGTGTCTCAGGCAGCATGGAGGAGGGGGAGCAGTGTTAAACTGTCTGTGTCAAAGCCTTACCAGGTGTGCCCTCCAGCTGCCTTGAGGTCTCTTTCTCCAGATCTGTGTCGACAAAGCCATTTCTAGCTGCAAAAGAAGTAAGGAAAGTGGTCACTCAGGAAAAGATTGCAAGGGACCAAGAGGGCTGGGTATTGGTAGGTCTCTGACAATGCTGAGCACATACAATTTGTTTCTGTCAACACAAGATGAATCTTTTTCCTAAACTTGGAAATTTTGCTTTTGGTTCTTTTGCTTTTATAATCTCTAATACCCACTGACAGTGCTTTGTTCCGTAGCTCATGGTTTTGTCTTTCAACCTGTGAAATGGCCAGGAGGAATAACATTGTTTCCTTTGATGGGTTAAGTGTAGTGTGGTGCTGTACACACCAGCTCTCTGGTGTGGCTTCAGCTGTACCCACACCAGCAAGAGCCATGCACTCGGTGTATTTCTGTGTTTGGAAAATGACTTTGTGTGTCCCTCCTAATGTCCTCTCTTGCCCTCTTCTTCAGGGAATTCAGTTCTTAATCGAAAACGACTTGCTGCAGAGCTCCCCCGAGGATGTCGCCCAGTTCCTTTATAAAGGAGAGGGCCTGAACAAGACCGTCATCGGGGACTACCTGGGCGAAAGGTAAGTGGATGAGAACAAGCAGCCTTGTCCCGCCTCCTGGCCCAGGCCTGGCCCAGTCACTCTGCCCTGGGCTGAAAGGGCGCACGTGTGGCTCCTCAATATGAGGGACCCCAGTGCTAAGCACATTCTCTCCATGTTCTCATGAGGAGAGAGGTGTTGAGGTGCCAGAGACCCCTGGCCACTGGGAAAGTGTCTTAATCTTCTGGTGTTTTACCCCAAAGCCACCAGGTTTCTTCCTGGTTTTCGTTCCCATTGGCTGGGGGGTGACTAAAGGGGAAGTTGTTGTTCCTGTTGTAAATGGACATCAGTGGTTCCTCCCTCGCCACTGAAAGGTGAGGGTGGCCATTCAGAGGCAGCACCTCCCATGAGCAAGTGTTTTCAACAAAGCCCATCAGTTGCTCAGTAAGAATAGCTTCTGTTTATAGCTTTTTATTAAAAATACGTGATTGAAGTGAAAAGTGAAATACTTCCCGACTTTTTCTTTGAGGCCAATGATACCTGACACTAATACCAGACAAAGAAAAAGCAGACTAACGTCTTCTGTGAATCTATATGCAGAAGTCATCAACAAAATCTTTAACACATCAAATCCAGCATTGGATAAAAAGGATTATGCACCATGACCTAATGGAATTTCTCCAAGGAATGCAAGTGTGTTTCAAGATCCCAAACTCAATGTAATACATCCTACCAATAAAGGATAAAAATTGCATGAGCATCTCAGACGAAGAAAAAGCATTTGACAAAATTCAGCACCCTTCATGATAACACTCAATCTAAGAATAGAGGGAGTTTACTTGACTGATAAAAGGTATCTATGAAAACCCATACTGACATCATACTTTTATGAACGACTGCATTGTTGTTGTTAGGTGCCATCAAGTTGGTTCGGACTCATAATAACTCTGTACAACAGAATAAGTCACTGCCCTGACCTGCATCATCCTCACAATTGTTTTGCTCTCTGAGCCCATAGTTGAAACCATTATGTCAGTCCAGCTCATTAAAGGGATTCCTCTTTTTTCTGACCCTCCACTTCATTAAGCATAGTGTCCTTTTCCAGGGACTCGTCCCCCTGATACGTGTCCAAAGGACATGAGACCCATCCTCATTTCGAAGGAGCATTCTGGCTGTCGTTCTAAGACAGATTTGTTTCTTCTTCTGGCAGTCCGTGGTACTTTAGGTGTTCTCTGCCAACACCATAATTCAAATGCATTGATTCTTCTCCAGTCTTTCTTATTCAACTTCCATGCAGACGAGGCAATTGAAAATACCCTGGCTTGGGTCAGGTGTTCCTTATTCCTCAAAAAGATCTCTTAGATGTTCTTTAACACTTTAAAAAAGTCTTTTGCAGCAAATTTGCCCAATGCAATAAATACATTGTTAGATTTCTTGGCTGCTGCTTCAATGAGCATTGATTATGGATCCTTTCCCCCCAAATATGAACGAGATAAGGATGTCTGCTCTTGGCTCTTCTTTTCAACATGGTACTGGGAGTTCTGGCCAGGGTAATTAGACAAGAAAGTGAAATTAAAGGCATTCAGTTTTAGAATGGAAGAAGTAAAACTATTTTTATTTGCAGGTGACATTCTCCGGTATATAAAAAATTCTAAGGTACCCATAAACTACTAGAGCTAATAAACTAGTGCAATAAGGGTGCTATGTACAAGATCATGATAGAATGGGAACAAAATGTGGAACAGCATTCACATCACTCAAATTCTTCAAAAGCCCAGACTTACTGCAACAGTTGAGACTAGAGGACTCCCCAAGATTATCACCAAAACAATTCTATGAGATCATCTCCTTTAAAAACTCATCTACTAATATATGCGACCAACCAGTCACCACTGTCTCTAAAGCAAAGGGGATAAGGCCAAGGGGGCAGGGAAATTGGATTACTGGAAATGGAACAACCAGACAGAAATTGTGAGCAAGTTAACACACTTTGAAATGTAACCTATGTCACTGAACAATTGTTAAATGGAAACCTAATTTGCTATGTAAAATTTCACCAAAAACTCAATAAAATAATTAACTAAAAAACAAAAATGCACACACACCCAGAAGCAAAAAGTTCAGTTTTACTTCCATACACTAGCAATGAGCAAACTGAAAAGCAAATTAAAGGTACAGTTACATTTTTACATTACTATCAAAAGGAATAAAATATTTAGGACTATACTCAATCAAAAAACTGTTAGCCCTGTACCCTGAAAACTACAAAACGCTGTTGAAGGTAACGGCAGAAGAGCTAAATAAATGGAGAGTTATCCCATGTTCATAGATCAGAAGACTTAATATTGCTAAGTTAGCGCCACTCCCCAAACCCATCTACAGATCCTGCATAGTCCCTATCAGAATGCCAGCTGGCTTGAGGTTCCCTGACCAGTAAGTCTGGAACAGTTTTTAGTTAAAACCACATTGTTTCTGTAGCATCAGTTTACTCTTTGTTTTCACCTGTACAATTTTGTTTGTGTAAAATTTTAGACTTCTTTTACATTCTCATGTTAAGTTTTCATATGCTAGTGTATTCTTTCTTTCCCAGCCTTTTTTTTCTAAGCCCAGTACAGGCATACCGTGTTATATTGCTGGATATTTTACACACTAAAGGTTTGTGGCCACCCAGTGTCAAGCACATATGTCGGTGCCATTTTCCCAGCAGCCTGTATGGCACTTCCTGTCTTGTGTCACACTTGGCCATTCTCAGAATGTTTCAGACTTTTTTATCATGCTATTGAACACTTCATAGACAACAAAACCCACTGCCATCTAGATGGTTTTGACTCACAATGACCCAGTATAGTGTTTCTGAAGCTGTAAATACTTAACAGGAACACAAATCATCTTTCTCCCTTGGAGCAGCCGGTGGATTCGAACTTCCGACCTTGCGTTTTAACAGTCCAGTGTTTCTCCCACAGTGCCATTGGAGCTCCTTTAATCGATGGCAGTAGAGTGTAAACATCTTCTTTATGTGCATTGGAATCCAAAATAATTGCTTTGCTTTGCTTTTTGTGTGACATTTGCAATATGGCAGTGGTATCAAACCGAACCCATGTCTGTGTTATGGTTTGTGACCTTGGGTGTGTACATTATTAGCTCCCTGAGCTCCCAAATCCCCCGAGAAGAACACCTACTTGGTGGATTGGCTTCAAGGTAAAGAGAATGTTGCAGTGCTGAGAACCAGGATGGTGCCTAGAACTGAGCACCTGTTGCATAAATCTGAGCAGCGTCTTCATTCTGCACGGCTCTCACAACTTGCTTCCTTCCTTCCCTAGGGATGATTTTAATATTAAAGTGCTTCAAGCTTTTGTTGAACTCCATGAGTTTGCCGATCTCAACCTCGTACAAGCCTTAAGGTAAGTCTCTCCTGGCATGTATCAGGTTGAAGAAAGATGGGGAAGTGAGAGAGTTTGTATGTATGGAGAAGCCTTTGCTCCCAGTAACTCAGGAAGGACGTGTTATCTGCAAACGCTGGGATTCCTTATGAAGACACCACGAGTGCACAGTAGCCTCGATGGAAGTTGCTCTCTCTCCTGACAGTGACCAGCATCGGGCGCTGCACCTCGGCCATGTTTGGTGTCTGAATACACTTGGCAGTGGGGTCTCATGCTTTTCCCACATCTGCTGATTGCTCTGCAGTCGGAGCTCAGCCAGGCGATGACCCATTTCCCACCAGATGTGGCCTCCAGTGCTGCCGGCATGGGGGCCATCAGAGAGGAGGGCTCTGCCTTGCCCTGGGTGTCCAGGAGAGCCAGTTGTCCCCACATGTCACCCCAGGGGTGGGCTTTGTGGGTCAGCTCCAACACTTTACTGAGTGCAGTCCCAGTGCGGCTGTCCAGGTGAGCCTGACCCCCAGAGCAGAGAGCCCACTACTTCCAGAGGCACCCTCTGGTCGCTCTCCCCTTTCCTGTGTGACTGTCCTGGCCCTTGGTCTGGTGGATGTCATCGGGGCAGGGGCCGCTTGACCCTGTGCTCACTGTCAGAGCTTCCCATGCCCTGGGAACAGAGCTCTCTAGCAGGCACAAAGCCAGCACATTGTTGTCCGTCTCACAGTCTAGACCTCCCCTCAACTCTTGGCTACTCCAGGGTGAGCCTCTTGGTCACATGACCTGCTTCCTCCTGGTTTCACTTCAGAGGCAGACTGGGCTGTTGGCATGTGTGCCTGTAGGACCCATGTGCCTGTATGCCTCTCCTCCAGGGGCCAAACCAGTGATCCGACAGTTAGCAACAGATCTGAATTTGGCAACCAAAGTTCCTTTTAGAGTTCGTTTTTGAAAAGCGTCATTCGCAGAAAGAAATGGGCAGGCCTGGGGTGCTTGTCTGGGTAGTGTCATTTGCACCTGGGGTGCTTGTCTGGGTAGTGTCAAAGGCCCGTCTTTGCAGGTGTCATCTCACTCCCTGTAGTTATGTGGTCCTAGGTCCAGAGCCACAGGAGAGTCTTCTACGGGTCTGGGGTGGGAGGTAGGTCTCTGTGCTGCATGGCCTGCCCTTGATGCCCACCAGCAGGGCACCCTGAGTGACTCAGCCCTCAGTCAGTGGACAGGGCTTAACTCTCACCTGCATGCACTGGGAGCTATGCTGACTCAGGCTGGGCAAGGAGGAGAGTGGACTGGGGGCAGGTCTGCTGGCTCTGGGGACACTGAGGCCAGCAGGGAGCATTGCAGTTAGTGGGGCCAGGCCAGGTGGGCAAGGGGAGAGGCACAGCACACTCTAAGCCTGGTGGGAGCCAGACCCCAGGGTATGAGTGGGGGGGTGAAGAGACACTGTTGGGAGGGCTCCTCTGAAGTTGCGGAGCACCCAGGGCTGAGGGGGCGTTGCTGGCTGAGCAGTAGTCTGCACCTGTGTGTGGCCGGAGTCCTCAGAGAGTGGGGGTGAGAAGATGCAGAACAAGGCACAGGTCAGCCCTGAGGGAGTGGGGGCCGGGCGGGACTATGTCTCCTCCTTCACCTGGTGGCTGCAGGATTGAGACTTTCAACCTGAGCTGTCACTGAGCCTGGTGGTCTTTCCTCAGCCCCAACCCATCTGCTAAGGCCACTAGGCAGTGCAGCCTCAGCTGGGGGCAGGGGGTAGGTGACAGTGAGGAGAGCTGCGTGTCAGTATGACTTGAGGCTGGGCCTCAGGAAGGTGGCTCGGGGGAGTGAGTTGGGGGAAGACCTCTGTGAGCAGAAAGGAGCCTAGAGGTTGGCACGGGGACACAGCTGTTATCTTTCTGGGCTAGACCTAATCGAGGAGACTTGAGACAGGTGCTTGCCTGGTGGTTGGTAAGGAGACGGACACATAGTTCCCCAGTGAGGTGGGCTCTGGGATGGAGGGTGTGGTCACTGGTCTGTGTGGATGGCCAGCTGAGCAGGGAAAGTGACCGCAGCAGAGGAGGACCAAGCTGCTCAGACCCTCAGGCTGACATGCCAGGTTTTGAGTCACTGATGGAAAAGAAAGGTATTGAGCCTCATTCCTTCCTGGCTCTGGGTGCTGGAGCAGGTCACAGGGGGAAGGGGGGGTGAGGAGGAGGGTGCAGGCCGCACGGGCTGAGGAAGCGGGGTCTGTGGGGATGCACTGTCAACTGACATGTCGTTGGACTGCTGCGGGCTTGATTCCTCTGCAGGCAGTTCCTGTGGAGCTTTCGGCTTCCCGGGGAGGCTCAGAAAATCGACCGCATGATGGAGGCCTTCGCTTCCCGCTACTGCCTTTGCAACCCTGGGGTCTTCCAGTCAACAGGTTAGTCCGGCACACGGCCTCCCTCTGCCCCTCAGACACACAGCCCAGGCTGTGGCCTCTAGAGGCTGCTGAGAGGCCCTGGCCTAGCACAGCCTGCTGTGGGCCCAGGCGGCCCATGGGGCTATCCACGGGGATGCTTCCGGACATAGAGATTCTAGACGATGTACGGGTCTGTCTACTTGCTGCCTCTGGGTGAGCTCAGCCCCTGGTGTCCCCCACTGTGCTCCAGATACCTGCTACGTGCTATCATTTGCCATCATCATGCTCAACACCAGCCTCCACAACCACAATGTGCGTGACAAACCCACGGCCGAGCGGTTCATCAGCATGAACCGTGGTATCAACGAGGGAGGGGATCTCCCCGAGGAGCTGCTGAGGGTGAGCGTCTGGGCTGCACTCCGTCCGGGTGGGAAGGTGGTATGGGGCCATGAGTCCCCACACCCACACTTGTCTGCCGTCCTCTCTGTCCCTGAACTTGTATTAGGATTGTCGCCTTGTGTCTAGAGCTCAGTGATGCCAGTGTTTTTTTTATGTTAAGGAATTCTTAGTCTCTGCTTTTCCAGCCCTGCTGGGTCTCCCGCTTCTCCTGTTGTGAGAGAGGACAAAAGAGCCAGCTTCCCCTGTGCACCCCAGCTTTGCTGCTGTTTTCCTCTCCTTACAGAATTTATATGAAAGTATTAAGAATGAGCCATTTAAGATCCCTGAGGATGACGGGAACGACCTGACCCACACGTTCTTCAACCCTGACCGGGAAGGCTGGCTCCTGAAGCTGGGTGAGTGCCTGGCACTTCACCTCATGGCCCAGGGTCACCCCGCCCCCCCTCAGCCCTCAGTATCCCCAAGTGGGCCGCAGGAGCGCAGCTGAGCACATGCGTGCTCTGGGTGGTGGACGCCCCCGAGAGTGCCTGCTCCTGAGTGTGGCCTTCCAGAACTGGGCGGACAGGCACACCTGCGGCACAGAAGCGGCCCAGCACACACTCAGTCCTGTCTAGAACAAGTCCAAGTCCGTTTTCTGTGCGTTTACCTCCAGAGACCTCTGTGGCCTTTCTCTCGGTTCGGCGTGGCTGTGATTTTGACGCGTGGTTTAAATGTGCCTTCTTGTTGTTTTCCTTCTGCCTGTGGCTCCCACCTTTCTGTTCTGTGACGGGCTGTCCCTGCTTGTCCTGCGTTAGGAGGTACGTACCCAGTGGCTTCCTGCCCCTGCCTCAGCTGCTCATTTCTCTCCTGGTCTCCTCTCCCTTTGCTAGCTTGTGTGACACTCGGGTTAACAGACACCATTCATGTGACCCTGTGGCCTTGACGTGCTGGGCTCAGCTTTGGGGTTCTGGTGAGCAGTGTGGTGATCCACAGGTCAAGGTCCAGGGAGGCCGTGATGCCCCGGAAGCTCCTGGCATGCTGTGCAGGGTCAGCTTCGATTCCCTGTGGTTCTGTAGGGCCTGCAACGCCGCGCCTCAGCGGTACCAGTCTCCTCCCTCATACATAGGCACTGGGCAGTGCCACCTGCCACCAGGAAGACAGCAGGTCCAAAGGGCTCCCTGGTCCTTCTTCTGGGCACTGCAGGGAGTTTTCCAGGATTATCGTGACTGTGGGGGTTGGGATTTTGGCCTAACCTCCATCAAAGCTTGTAAACTGGGATAACTGTTCACCAGACATTTCTGAAAGGAGGTAGTTTCTTGTAGCAAGAATTCTCGAGGTTTTGTTTTTTTCAGCAAGTAGAAGACGTAGCCAAGGTGGATTGTGAAGAGTGGGGCTTGTGAGTGGATGGGGCTGTTGTTCGGGTCCACCCCTGGCTCTTGCTTTCCTGACCCTACACCAGTGTGCCTGGTTTAGGAAAATCTCCTATTGCCTCGCAGCTGTGGGACTTGGAAGCTTTCCCATCTTAGCCAACCTGTGGTGCTGGAAGGGAAGGCAGGAGTACTGGCCCCCTCAGAGTATTAGCGCTTGCACAGGGTTAAAGGGAGTGGAGTTATATCTGCTAAGACCTTGCCCTCCAGCTAAGGAGTTCTGGTAGTACAGTGGGTTAATCATTGGGCTGCTGAGAGGTCAGCGGTTCCAATCCACCAGACACTCTGCAGGAGAAAGATGAGGCTGTCTGTAAAGATTTACAACCTGGCAAACCCTAGGGGGCAACTCTGCTCTGTGCTGGGCTGCCGGAGTCAGAACCAACTCTGTGGCTGTGGGTAGGGTGCCCTCTAGCGCCTGCATTGCAGGGGGCGCCCCCTGGTGGGCAGTGGCTATGGATGGGTCCCTATGGGAAGTGCTGAGGGGCTGGATTCTTTTTCTTTTTCCATAATTTATTATTCTGTTTCTGTTGAGAATATACACCGAGTTACCCATTTCTACATGTACATTCTACATGTCCAGTGACATCCCTTGAGTTTTGCAAACCATTCTCTCCTCCTTTTCTGAACTGCTCCTCTTTCAGTAACATGCACTCACTTGCCCACTGTTGTCTCACATAGTCAGCGTTGTAAAGCACAGTGTGGGGTTGACATTTTTATTAGCAACAACACCCGCAACAATGACCCAGGACACCAGCCACTGCAGAAACCTCTGCTGGCTAGGGGCCTCTGGGACGCAGGCTGCCCCGTTGTACCTTTGTTTTCCTGGATCTCTGACCCAGGCAGCCTCTGTCCTTGCTCAGGTCTGGTGAAACCTGGCGTGGTCACTGCATGGTAGGTCATCAGCATTGGCTGTGTCCCAGGCTCCTGCCTTCCCGGACCCTACAGCTCTCAGCACGCAGGGCATCCTGGTTGCTTTGAGGCCCCAGGTGTCATCATCCAGACTCAAGCTTGGTCCAGGCACAGCTGAGGGCCAGGGAAGCTGCAGGTCTTCCCAAAAGGTGGCAGTAACCCGGGCACCTGGTTACAGGAGGTCCAGACTTCCCTCGTGGTCCCTGGAGAGAATCCCCCAAGCCTAAGGCAGGTGCAGACTTAGAAACTAAAATGTCTAAGCATGCGCCCAAAGGGCAGGAGATCCCAAGTGTGACATTGAATTGCATCCTCAGTGATGTGGCTGTGACCAGTGACACTTTCACAATACCAGGGAGCCTAGCAGTGTGGATGATTGTGTCTCTTACATGGGGGGCGCTATAGTGTGCAGAGCCAGTGCGTAAGGATAAGGACCGTTGAATTTGGTGCTGGGACTGGCTTCTGTTGGCAGAGCACTGTGAGTGTGTGTGTGTCTGTGTAAGTAGTAAGTGTGTGTGGCTATGTAAAGGTGGGGTGTGTGTCTGTGTCTTTGAGAGTCAAGTGTGTGTGGGCAGTGTGTGAGTATGTGAAGGGACATGCATGTGGGTGCCGTATGTGAATGTGTGGGTGGATGGGTTTGTGCATGTGTGATACATGTGTGGTGCGTGGGGGTGGTCCTATGTGTGGTTGTGGTGTCTTGTTAAACTCAGCAGAAACACACCCATACAGCAGTGTGGTCTCTTCTCGTAGCGTAGTCCTGAGACTGGTTGACAGGATTCGCTGGGGCCTACGAGGCCACTCTGCTCCTGAGAGCAGGCTCCAGCTGTCAGGGTGTGAGGAGCAGAGAGACCTTCCTGGCCCTTCCAGTGATGAGCATGGGGTGAGCACCACAATCACCCCCTGATCCCACACCGTGACAAGAGCCCCCAGTAGAGACGGAGTACCAGCATTGACGTCCCCCAAGAACTTGGTAAAGGTGCTAGGAGGAGCAGCTGAGGTTCAGGGGAATCTTGCGGGGATTTAGAGTTTGGATTTTGTGCTGAGAGCCAGAAAGTCTTAGGGGCGCTTCCAGCAGGGTTTCTTTTTTTGCGAAAGATGACTCTAGTACTATGTAGGGGTGGGGGTGGGCCAGCAGGGGGCCCTTGTTGGGTCAGCACCCTGGGGGATGTGTGAGGGATGGAGTGATGCTGGAGGCAGCTGTAGGAAGAGCCTTGCATCTGGCTTCAGACTTTCTGGATCACAGGGGCTTGTACGGGCCAGCTTTGGAGAGATTGTGGATTTGGTTCCAGGCCACCACAGTAAAGCAGCTGTCACACATAGTGGCTCACATGGAGTGTCTGGTGTCCCTGCGCATCAGGAAGTTATACTGGCACTGTGCTGTTTTTATTAGGTGTGCGATAACAGGATGAAAATGTAAAACCACTGTGAGAATGACCGACTCGTGACACAGAGACACGAAGTGCGCACATGTTCGTAGGAGAAGTGGCGCTGACAGACTTAGCCCGCTCAGGGAATCCATACACCTGCCATGTGTCAACAGCGCAGTGAAGCCAGGTCTGCCTGTATCTGGAACCCACTAGCTGTGTCCTCATTTTCTCGTGGTCTCTAGGTGCCAAACACATGTTTCTGTCCACCTGTCCCTGGCAGACTTGAGGATACCACCCCCTGTGTGAAGCCTCAGCAGACTTGGGGAGGTGAAAGGCAAGGAAGGGCCAGCATGGGGTCAAGGGTGACCAGGAACACTGTTCTCAAGGCTGGGTCTCAAGGGGAGAGTGGACAGACCTGAAGGAGGTGAGCTGAGGACCCCAGCAAGTTGCTGAGAGCCCTGTGGGCTGCACCAGGCCAGGTGGAGGCGGGAGATTGAGATGGGCAGGCTCAGTGTGGGAGCTGTAGGAGGAGGCAGACTCAGGGAGGGTCCTGTCAGCCCAGTGTTCAGACCGATCCTCCCTGACGGCACACCAGTGTGCATCTTAGAGACACAAGCCCTACTATGGGGCTGATTTTCTTCCCTGTTCTAATGGGGGTGCAGACCCAGGGGAGACCAGGAGATAAGGGGAGTGCCTTAGTGGGATGCTGTCAGGGCCCACAAGTGACAAGGTAGACAGTGACCTCCAGCCGGCCCAGCTCAGCCCCAGTGCCAGACCTCAGAAGGACAAACCATTTGGTCTGTGAGGCAGGGCTGGCCTTCCCAGTGCCACAGAAATACAGGGAAGGGCAGCTGGGCTGCTCGGCACACACACCCAAAAAAGCTGGGGTTTCTCGTTTCTGTCTTCTCACCCTGGCTCTCAGCCAACTGAAGCCCCGTTAAGAGTCCTACCCAGGGCATCCCTTCATTTCATCATGTGACTAAAGAGCAAGCCGCCTCTAGTCCTGTCCCCTCAGCACCCTGTGTGACCTCATGAACACTCCTCCCCTCCCCTCCCTGCCCCTTCCTCTGGAGAGGCCTTGAGGACAGCCTCCTTCTGACAGCTTGGCACCCACCTGTACACTCTGATAATCTGGGAAGCACCCACAGGAGTATGGCACCCTTAGGCCAGGACAGTAACTCTCTCCCTCGTGCCTGCGGCTCCCTGGAATTTATTGCTCCCACAGCATCTTTTTCTCTTAAATAAAAGAAAAAGAAAACGTGTCAACTACAAAGGACAAGAAATCAGTCAGTTAGACCCTCTTACTGGTACAAGCTTTTTTTCCTTAGTGACAAGAGTCTCTAAGGAGCTGGATGAACGTGTGTTCTGGATCTTGTGATAAGATTAGTTCAATTTAAGAGTTCGCTGGGCTAGGGGTAATTGATTGTGATGAATGCCGAATCAGCCCCGATGATGCCGTGATGTGATAAGCACCGTGGTGTAATAGGATTAGGTCACAGCAGATCCGGGGTGAGTGGGTCATGACTATATCCCATGGTCGTCTCCATGCGGGGAAATTGAGCCCATTCATTAGGACTAACTCTGCGGGGAAGATCTGAAGATGACTCAATTGCAGGGAGTCTGAGGGTGCATGTGCAGGGGCCCCAGCAGTGCACTGTCACCTGCTTTCCAACTGGTGGCACAAGAGCAGCTGGCCTCAATGGCCAGGACTGAGACTGACTGTCAGAGGAAAGCTTAGAACCAAACCTGGTTCTTGGTGGCATTTCTGAACATTCCCTAAATTGTGTCACTCCCTGGGGCCCCCCCACCTGTGATGGTCCCTGGCGCTTAGCCTGTGATGTCACCTGACTCACAAGCCTCTTGTGCTTGCAGGAGGTCGCGTGAAGACCTGGAAGCGGCGCTGGTTCATCTTGACAGACAACTGCCTATACTACTTCGAGTACACGACGGTGAGTGAGCGAGCGAGCAGGTCCCACCTGGCCCATGGTGACCAGCCAGCGGCCTGAGGGGACCTGGATGTACCCTTTCTCTTGTAGGACAAGGAGCCCCGCGGAATTATCCCGCTGGAAAACCTCAGCATCCGAGAGGTGGAAGACCCTCGGAAACCTGTAAGATGACCTCCTCCTGCCCACTCCTCTGCACCCACTCGCCCTGAACCGGGGTGTGGACAGTCGTGGGTGATGTCCTCTCTCTCTTCCCTCCCCCAGAACTGTTTCGAGCTTTATAACCCGAGCCACAAGGGCCAGGTGATCAAAGCCTGCAAGACAGAAGCCGATGGGCGTGTGGTAGAAGGGAACCACGTGGTGTACCGGATCTCTGCCCCAAGCCCAGAGGAGAAGGAGGAGTGGATCAAGTCCATCAAGTGAGTGGGTGCTTGCTCGGCACAGAAGTTAGGGGAGGGGGAGTGTGCGCGTGCGCATGCCTGCTTGCCTGCCTGAGTCTCAGCTCTCAGCTCGGTAGGAAGGAATGAGCTCCCTTGTTTCCGGAAATTCTGAGGAGACAGCAGCTCTCTCTGGGTGTTGGCTGGGCTGGGCACGGTGTCTTACAGGCAGCCCCAGGTGCGGCCCTGACCTGCTCGCGTGCTTTTTCTCTCTTCACCAGAGCAAGTATCAGTAGGGACCCTTTCTATGACATGTTGGCGACAAGGAAGAGGAGGATTGCCAATAAGAAGTAAGAGCTTTCCTGACTCAGCAGGTAAAAGTACAAACCAAAACCCCACAGCAGACAGTGACTGAAGCGTCCTCCCTGTGACTTCTTGGACCGCACCACTGCCTGGGAGCATATCCCAGAAGGCAGTGGTTTCTGTGTGCTTACTGCTTCGCAAAAGAAGAGTGCTCCAGGGTCAGGGGTCAGTGAGCCAAGCTGCACAACTGTCGGAGGAAAGCCGTGCGTCAGGACTGTCCTCACTGGTGAGCGTTCCCGAAGTCTCCCTTCCTGCTGATGGTCACGTCAGAGTCCGAGCTGCTGTACCACACCGCAGGGCTCGTGACAGCTGGGCCGCACGCCAGCATGTCCGGAAGCCGCCATTTTATAGCAACGCAGGAAAGGAAAAGCTACCACTTTTTTATTCAGATTTTTTTCCTCAAATATATATGATTATAGCTTTTATATGCCTTTTTATATTCTGAAATTATAATGAAAGACATTTACTTTCTAACAGTAGTATTTTTAGAATGGCAGCTATAAATTTAATTCCTGGACACAGTATACACTGTGCGCTGAGAAAATATATATGCAGCACCCAACGAGGTCTGGGGAGAGGGCGGCGCAGGGACAAGCCCAGGGCCTTGAGGGTCCTTAGGACCAACCAGCACTGGAGGAGAGGGGGATGGCAGCAGAACAGCCCAGCTGTGACACTTTGCCCCCTAAATACCTGTTCTTTCAAATAACTTTCTGGGAAGCAAATCATTAAGTATAAACCATGTAAATGCTGTTTGGGGAGGGGGTTTTCTGCTGTAACTGCTGAACCCCAGCGACAGTGCTGTTTTGCTGGACACAGATTGTTTGAACCACACAAAACTGCTGGTGGGGTTGGTTTTGACCTCCAGGAACTATAGTTTTGTAGGGTTCAGCCACATGTGGGTCAGGCTGGCTTGTGACCACATTTTTCTTTTTAAAGCCCGTCAGCAAAACAAGCGCTTCATTTTACTGGCCTTCTAGTAATTTGACCGAATGTCGTAATGTAGTGCTAGACCTCTAAGTAGCTAGAAGTAATGACCCATACTCCTCTAGCACTGGGCCTTGTTCCCCTTGAGGGAGGAGCACTTGTGGCACACATCACTTACAGCCACACAGTGTGGTTGGTACTCATGGGAGGTGTGCTGCCCAAGGTGGTGGTGGGTACGCAGTGTCTGGGCCCCCAGGGCCCATAGGCCTGGACTGCAGGAGCCGAATAGTGCTTTAAAGCATTAGGAACGGGCTGGGGAACAGGTGCTGTCTCTGTTCACATCTAGACCCTTCTGCTCAAGTGACTGCTTTGTCACTGGACAGCCTTGCAGATGGGCTTCCCCAACGCCTTCCTGTCCACTGGCCCCGTTCGCATAGGCACGCCGACTCCACACTTTGACATGTCTCTTTCCGTGCTAAAGGAAAGCCCGAGAAGGAACATAGCTGGGATGCCCTTCTAGCAGGACAGCCTTGATGCCAAGACTGAGCGGCTGGCCCTTGGCCTCTAAGTGGCTACAAGTCACCCTGACGGCAGGGGCTCCCAGCCCTTAACTCACCATCACACATCACACCCTTTTTGTTGGTTTCATCCCCAGATTTTAGGCTTTGTTACTGTACCAATACCTCAAATTTCAAAACTTTAGTTTTTGAGAAGACAGTTGGTGTTCTCAGGCGGCCTTGACTGGTCTATATGCAACTCTGGCCTCCAGTCTTCCACCCCCACAGAAAACCGGCCAGGGCCACCAGACCCCACAATGGGGCAGTTGGGTCAGTGTCTCATACCCAGAAAAACCCTTTTCCTTTCTCCTGACTCTTATGCCTCAGAGACACCCTGGAGGCCCAGGGCTGCTGGGCTCGAATTGTGGCTTCAGTGGTGCTGGAAAATAGGAACAGGCGGTCCCCACAAAGTGTGTTTCTCCGCTGCAGTCACCTGTGAGGGAGCCCACAGGAATCCTGCAGAACACGCGGTGCTTAGAGGCCGTGTGATGTAAAGCCATCCAGTTCCAGATCCCGTTGTGACAGTGTTAACACGGTGGTGGGTGCACAGCCATCCTCTGCCTGAGCTTCGTCCTGACAGTCACGTTCGTCCTCCCGTCAGCTCGGCATCTGCGCTCAGTGCTTGATTCGCTCCACCCACCGCTGGCCGCAGACCACACTTCCTCCTGAGAGACAGGGATGGCGGCAGAGCAGAGCTGAGGGGGGCCTGCACCCCTGATACACACCTATGTCTTCAGGGTCAGGTAACTTTTTTTTTTTTTTTTTTTTAAGAATTAACTGTGGTACACCAAACGGAGTGCAAACAGGAGCTATTTACCATGGCGCAGCTCCTGGTGCTTCAGGAAGCAATGCCTATATTGTAAGTTACACATGGATCTATCTATAACTACATAGATGTGCTTGCTGAGAAGTTAGGTCTGTGATAGACCAGAAACCAGTTGTGCTTTTTAGTTTTCTTATTTTTCTCTTAGAAAACATTTCTATTTACAGTAAATATTGTTAGGATGTAAATAATGTACATAGATAAGGATTTCTGGAATGTTATTCACTGTATATACATCCACACCTTGCATGAAAAAAGTAATCTGTATCTTGATATTTTGTTGGAAAGTGAATAGTTAGTAAAATCGGAGGGTGTACGGCTCTTGAAAATACTGTGTTCACTCAATAAAAGAAAAAACAAATCAAATGTATTGTTAAACAAGATTGCCTAAGATTGGGTTCTTTGAGCTCCAGGACTTTCTGCAGCCGTGGGTGAGGAAGGGAAGACCGGGAGGAGGATTGTCCGTGAACCATAGAAAACCAGCAGGAAAAAAACAACACAAAATGCTTACTTTGCTGCCATTTATATACTATATAAATTCTACATGCTGTATATTTACAGTGGGGCAAGTGCTTTTTAATCTTTAAAAAAACAAAGATCAAACTTTAGACATCTCTGAACAACGCAAACGGTATAAACCATAAAGATTATTCAGATAACAAACTGTATTACATACAGTTTTCCCCACTCCATCTCCTGATGCAGGACCAGTGAATTATAAGTGTATCACAGTTTGATAGCATATCCATATTAAAAATAAAATCACAGTATGAATTTGTCTGTAACTAGGAACTTTAGGGACTAAGCTGATGAACTCAGACGCCTGCTTGTACCATATAGTCAAGACAAGAGACACTGTATCCAAAAGGGTTAGGTAATAAAAACATACAGGAGGCTTTACAAATAATGTTTGGATTATACATTCATAATGTAAACACTCATCATAACTGGTAAATTGATTGGAATAGTTCCACAAAGTTCAAAACCAGAACTTGTCTATAAAATACATCTTCAAATCTTGAATACAACTAAAAATATGAAGCAAATTAGTTTCTAGTATCAGACATTACAGAAAACAGATTGCTCTCAAAAGTCTGGCTGAGAGCTGTGACTCTTTAAATACGTCTTTAAATTAAATATACACACCGTCAGTTGTTTGTACTTTAATAATTCCATGGTTTCCCGGTTGGTCTTGCACCAGATGTCTAACTTGGAGGAACATTACATGAAATACAAGTAATCAACCTGAGTCTGTAGTTAAGCAGCATTTGAGATGTTCTATTCCAGGGCATTATTTCAATGAGATTTATATACACGGTATTTTACAATGGTCAGCAGTTGTAGAAAGTGTTCATCCATTTGGAATCAGGGCAATTAAGAAAACGTAAAAACTAACAACAACAAAAAAATTTTCCATGGTAAAACCTGTACAGTATTTACTAAAGAAGCACCACGCAGATTTGAACAGTTATTTTCTATGTTTATAATTTAAGCTGGGTTGGGGATGGCTTCTGTTGAACACGGTGAATCTGAAAGACAAGAGGTGGCAGACGTTAGTGATTCCCAAGGCAGGTGGGGCCTCTCGCCTGTTCACACACCAACAATGACTTCTTTGGGAGTTCTTCCAGTGTGGCTGCTAATCCACTGAACCCAGGAACTCCTGAGATTTAGGTCTCTTCCTTGTGGGCACATAGAAGAAACCTATTCCTTAACTGCAAATTCATCTTCAGGAGTAAATGACTTGAAACTCACTTAAATCCTTGTCACGTTAAAAGACACACACGGGCAAGATGCCTTTCAAGGGCAAAGTGATCCACTGTCCCTTGACCGTGGCATAAGCAGAGCACAGACAAGCATGCCCAAGCCCACTGAGTAAACTTCTAGAATTCAGTCACTTGAAGAGGCCTTGACTCTCAAGGATTCCGATCTGCTCTGTAGTGCGCACACCCTAAGGGTGACCATGTAGGCCTGGGTTACAGAAATAGGAGTCTCCATCAAATGACTGCCTGTTGGTTCTGAAGCCATGAATGGAAGCACAGAATGACACTTCCTACAGAAATCCTGCTGACAGAGTTGGGAAGTTTGAGGTGAGAAAGGGGGGAAAGTGAGGTGAGAAAGGGGGTTAGAGCCCTTCTCCAGCTTTACAAGTTTTTTTGGGAAGCAGCTAAGGTGGCAGGTTCCCAGACTCACCGAGTCCCACCCTGACCTTTTCAAGTTACTCCCTCCTCTGTGTGCCCCCCTCACTGCTCTCTGTCAGCTCTCATGAAACATGCAGTCAGACGACAGCTTACCGTAACTAGCAAATTGTTTTGAGGCCGAGTTTTCAATCACCTAGAAAGCAAAGGTTAGGAAACATTTTAATCATGATCTTGTCTGACAAACTATTACAATTCACACCCCATTCTCTGGAGCCTGTGTGTGCCTGACAGCAGGCCTCTGGGAGGACAGGCCCATGTGTGTCACGAGCTACTGCTCAAGTTCACATGACTGAGGGGGCGGCTTCACCTGCAGCCTCATCCAATGGACCATCATCACAACAAAGATCTAAGTAGGGCCAAAGAAACGAGCTGAGGGCTGAGTGGAACCAGAGACAAGTCCAATGACAGATGAAATGGGCAAATGCAGGACATGGGACTTGAGATGCATGGAGGATGGTGAGAAAGGGGTGTCTGCAAATCAGGCAGCCCTCAGAACAGGGGCAAAGTCACAGGGCAGAGCCTGCTGCAGCCCGAGATCTCACTGGGGTGACACACGTGAGGAACTCCAGCCAGGTGGGGACTTGGCCTCCCCTTCCTTGTGGGGCCACATCATTCCATACAACCACACAGAGGAAGGAGCCCCCTCATAATGCAATGCTGATGTACCCAGTCGAGTCAGCAGGGAGCCTTCCTCACCAACCCCACCCAAATCGCCGAAATGTTAATGTACAAACAATTCTAAAATTTGTCTAACTTCTTCAAAAAACATACTAATAACAAAAAGACAACCCAATCAAAACATGGAGGGCCTGAATGAATATCACCAAAGAAGACAAAATGTCACCAAAGAATGCAAAAAGATTTTCAAAGTCACTGGTGGTAGTTTTGTGCTATAGAGTCAGTTCCGACTCATAGCGACCCTGAACAGGGTTTCCGAGGTTGTAAATCTTTACAGGAGCAGAAAGCCTCATCTTTCTCCCGCAGAACAGCTGGTGGTTTTGAACTGCTGACTTTGCGGTTCTGCAGCCCGATTTTAACCACTATACCACAAGGACATGGGACACGAGACCAGAGCTCCTTAGCCATTAGGAAAGTGCAAACCCAAACACATGAGATACCACTAATACCTACAAACATGGCAATTAGTACAACAATATTAAGGAAAATAATAGGTGTTGGAGAGGAAGTGAAATGGGAAACTTCATCCACTGCTGGTGGAATGTAAAATGGTGCAGCCACTGGGGACAGCAGTTTGGCAGCACGTTCGGACTCAGAGCGACCCTATGCACAACAGAAGGAAACACTGCTGGGTCCTATGCAGTCACTGCAGCACTGTTCCCAGTAACCAAACGGCAGAACAAGCATCACCAGAGGAATGCATACACCAGGTCCACCCAGACCACCCGAGAGACTTGCCAGACACCTGCCACAGTGGCTGGACCTGAGAACATGCGGAGTGACATGAATCGGGTACAGAGGGACAAGTACTGCAAGGTCTCACTTCTACAGAGCAGCACAGATGAGGGGAAGGCTTACTTTAGGGGTCACTGCGTGTATGTGGACTGTGGTGCTAGGACTTGAAAAAGGGCAGCACCCAGCAATGCCCAAGACAGGAGGTAAGCATGGCCATGGAACTGCACATGTAGATAGCTGAGATGACACATGTAGGGTTTGTTATGTACAGGTTGTCCCCAACTTAGGATATATTCAAATTATAACAAACCACCTGAACAGTTGTTCACCTGACTGTTATAACACGTGCTAGTACAGTCTTACGGCATGTAACCCTTCATGTGATCAGTCTCAATGTTATCATTCATAAAGACACTGATTCTAAAAGGCAGTAAGGAAGAAAACGAAAATTAAAAAAAAAAGGTATGTGGCTTACGTCAGAACCCATTTAAGAAGGAGTTGTGGGAAGGGAGTCTAAATAAGTCAGGAAACTCCCCATATATATTTTCACCACAGTAAATACAGAGCAAAAACCACTTTGGCCTTCACTTTTTGCTGCTCACAACCTTCTCCATGACACTAGGAGACTGCGTTTCTCCTCCCAGAACAGTCCACATTGCGTGTTTACTGGTTCTTGGCACACGGGCACTTGGTGGAGACCAGGGGCCATGCCTTAAACAGCGATGCATCCTCTTCCCATGGCCCCTGTGACACCACACCACCACTGTGATCCCAGGACACAGCCCAAAGGGCTCTGGGCAACCAAAACGGTGTGTCAGAGTCACCGTGACAATGTATGTGTCAGTGTTTGGGCTTCACAGCACCCTGTGTCCTCTGTCATGGCAACCCTGGGGCTCCAGCAGCCCCGAGCAGGCAGACTTGGAGCTACGCTCCAGCAGAACCATTTTATCAATACTGCCACAGGAATTCCAAGCAATCTGCAAGTGAAATTGGAATTCCAAAGTATTCTTTGGAATTTTGCAGACCATCTAAAAACATTACAACCAAAAACAAAAAGAACCCAATCAAAAAATGGGCAAAGACCTTGAACCAAAGAGGATATTCAAATGGCCAACAAGCACATGAAAAGGTGGTCAATATCATTACCCATTACAGATAAACCAAACCCAACGCCATCGAGACAGTTCCAACTTAAAGGGACCCTGTAGAACAGAGAACTGCTTTGGAGGGT